GTCATAGATCGGATGTCTTAGGCCAGTTTATGCCTTTGGTTGGAATAGATTGGTCGCAAACAGGTGTTACACATTTATTTTCGGCTGTTAAGGTCTGTTATATGCACTTTACTGGTTTTTTATCTTTAGAAATGATAATAGCATGGAAGCAATGGGATAAAAGCAAAGAATTCATTTTCTCTCCCTAACATTTCAACAGGAAAACGGATATCAGTTGATCTTCTTAAGTGCACGTGCGATTTCTCAGGCCTCGGTCACCAGACAATTTCTTGTTAATCTCAAGCAGGTAATTAGACGCAAGACGTTCTAATCTTACATAAATCGAAAATCTAGAGTACTTTGTTAATCTTTAGCAAATCCCAGGACGGAAAAGCATTGCCTGATGGTCCTGTTGTTATCTCTCCCGATGGCCTATTTCCTTCACTGTTTCGAGAAGGTAAACTGTTTCTAATATACTACTAAGCAATGACTTGTCATGATTTCTTGATCCTGAATTTGTTGCTTCTTGTTTTTTAAAATTCTTCTCTCCAGTAATTAGAAGAGCACCTCATGAATTCAAGATTGCTTGCTTGGAGGTTAGTTTCTTACGGTTTTTATATCTGTTGAACACTCGTGTCCTATGAAAAACACGTTCACAGTCTCGATTTTTCGAAAATTTACAGGAAATACAAGCATTGTTTCCTCCTGAACACAACCCGTTCTATGCTGGTTTTGGAAATAGGGACACGGACGAGATAAGCTACCTTAAAGTCGGAATCCCTCGGGGAAAGATATTCATTATTAACCCAAAGGTACTCATTCCTAATAGCAACATATTTAAGTAAACGATGTCATAGTCCTTGATTGCTTGTTCACATTTGCATTTGGGGTTTTCACAATGCAAAATTTTGCGTTTGAAACAATTGCAACCTTGCTTGTGAGGAATGCAGGGGGAAGTAGCCGTGAATCGGAGGGTGGATACAAGATCATACACAAATCTTCATGCTCTTGTCAATGGAATGTTTCCAGCTACATCCTCTTCTGAAAGGGTATCTGATGATCTG